GGGTATTATTCCATTAATAGTGACAAATTCACGTTTATCGAATTGATTCACTGGACTTAGCAGACCATGCTTGGAGGCAAGATCGTACACCACGTTTTTAGCTTTAAGAGGCTTTCCATTAGATTTTCCAAGGACCCATTGAGCTCCGAGATCTACCACATTTTCACCTGAAAATATAAAATTCTTAATCAAAATTTTCCAAAATTTTCAAAGTTTTAAGGATGCAAAATAGAAACTTATAGTTTATTATCAAAGATAATATGCAAAGCTAAAATTTTCATTAAGCCAAGATTAAATTGAGGAATTATTATTTACCAAAATCTTTGGTATATATTCTGCCACCGATTCTATCGTTGGCCTCCAGTATCACAAAATCATTCACTCCTCTCTGCGACAGCCTCGAGGCAGCAGCAATGCCAGCTGCACCCGCTCCAACAATTACAATTTTTGTTTCCTTTGTCGTATTGCAAGCTACAACATAAAATAATCCACAGGATCCCTAGCGATGAATAACACTAAAAACTATTATCAATGATAATTCTGATTTTTTTTCTTACCGGTGGACCGAATGGAGATCACATCAAGGATCAAAATGGACGCAACCAGGCAAAAACGAAAATTCATTGCTGAATAATAAAAGATATTGAGCGAAGGATCCGACGTCAAGGCATTTGACGATAGAGACAAGCTGACACTACGATTATTAGTGGTGGAATCTACAAACGTTTTTTTCCATCTCTTCTTCTTTTCCTTACTTTGTACTTTTGTAATTTTCATCAATTACAGATAAGGCGTTCGCATATTTCTTAAAACGTAGTTATAATTGCTTTCTTGATAAGACATACAGTAAAGATGTTTCGTACTTCATAACGTTTTTTTTTAAACGGCTCAATATTTGAATATTTATTTAAAATATTTATTTAAAGTTGTTCAATATTAAATTTTCTTAATTCTTCAGTTGCATTATGCAATTATAAATTATTCAACATAATACAGGACTAATTCCATATATATGTTAATATTAATGTCTATCCTTAACAAAATGTTTAAAAATGTAATACGAGTAAATCGGACAATTATGTATGTAACACACGAAGATGAAGCGACACGTATGTAATATTTTATAAAAGACCACTGAAGAAGACTTGATGTAAAGTCGAAACGATCGTCTGGTAGCATTAAGGTGGTTTTATCGTGCAAGTCCCAGTCAAAAGTTAGTCATTCCATATGACTAATAATTCAATAAAAACAAACCTAATTCAATAAAAACATTTTGCATAGACTGTACATATGCGATTGTGTGCCGTTTATGTGACAATGTCACACTATTGAGTTGGCATTGAGCGATAAAACCACCTTAATGTAATTTTTTATACGAATATAACGCGGATTAGCACAAAGACCTTGCTTGACTTCTGGCCCATTACAATTATTTATTTTAAATTTTAATTCTCGGAGCCTGAACATATTGTCCAATTTAAAATAATTTT